GAATGAGACGAAGACTGAACCGCTGGTTCAAGTCCTGCGAAAACAGGCCGAACAGGTGCACCCAGCTTTATCATCGTGGAAGAGTACTTGTGCACATGTGCAGCCAGGGAGTTCCTTGCTGGATCTGGTCGTAAGTTTTGCAATGATTGCAACACGTGTCTTGCTGGTTGTGTGTTTTGGTACAAGAGCCTGCTTCAGGTTTTGTGATCTTTTCTGGCCTTGAACTGAAAACCAATGAGGACCCCTACAAATGATGTTGTATCGAGGCTTTGTGTGCTTTGACTTGCTTTTTGCTGCTGGCCGGATTGGGTAGTATGTTTTGCTAGCCCTTCAGCACGTGGATTGCTCCTTTCGGGAAGTTGTTCTGTTATCATCATTATTATCCACAAAAGCAGCTAGAATCCCGGCATTTGATGTTGTGTGTTGGTTTCGATGGTGTTTTGTGGAGGGGGTTCCACACATCAGCTTGTCGCAACAATGAAACAACACAGAGACCCGGAAAGCAGACCGACATTGCAAAGGGCCCCCCCTGGTTTTAAACATGCAGAAGTGACTAAAAGTTACTGCAGCACTTTTGGCAGTTTTGGGACTCCCGTGGCAGTTTGATGTTCTGGTTGCTTCAACACACAGCTTGCTTCGACTCTTAATGCGAGTTCTGAAGGTTGGCTGCGCATGACAACGGCAGCAAGCATGACGTCTTTCAACATCACAATGTTCACAAAGAAGGGAGTTGTCACAGTCCAATCCAACATCTTTCACATAAAGTTGCACAGCATTGTAGCCAATACCATTTGACGGTGGAAAAGCATTGCGCGGAGAGCTAAATTGTGGAAGATCTTGTCCTGCTGTTCTTTAAACTTTTGGGCCAAAGAAAAAACTTTCCCGAGGTGCGTCCTGGTGCCTTTCTGCGCAAGCAAACTTCTCATGAAGACAGTCTTTCGGCTTGATGATGGTGGCGTACATCGAAGTTAGTGAGATGTCATTGGGGTCCGTGCGTCGACTGCATTGCTTGGATTCGCAAGAGAAATAATCTACATTATGATCGTCGTGCGCAGTGACTGAGGCACCTGGCCATATAGGTTTCCTCGGGCAAGCGCCCGCGATATCGCCTGTTAGTGTGTAGACTTGCGTCGTCACAGCGTGGGTTTTGTTGCAGAATCCGCTGGGCCACATTCTCACATTTCAGGCGTTGTGGAAAAGTGGCCAGCGGTACATGTTCTAAACATTGCATGTTCTAGCCACCAACGGCAACGACAGATTTCAATCGCTAATATGTTAGACGACGAATGCGACGATCTTAAACTACAGAGAGCAGACACTTCTTTTGGCGGTAAGATGCNNCCTCCAAATACCAAATATGCATTTATTTTGCATGGAATGTGCCCTAGGCCCTGGGCCCTAGGAAACCATTCCCAGTCTGCGGAGAAGCAATGAGCATTTAAACTTGCTCATCAATATCAAAGCCTGAGGAGCAATCCGATTGGAAGGCAACCCAAGGAAGCGTTCCATGTTTGGACATGATGGGTCAAGTTGGAGCAAAATTTTGGATGTATCCGGTTCAAGATTTGGATTTGGAAAATAGCGACACTCGCCGGGAATGCTGCTGCTGGTGGATCTCACAACTCAAGACAGTGCCTTTGTGCGATGAATGTTGTCTGATGTATCCACGTCATGGCGGCCATTGCCATGCCGCTCTGCTTGATTTTCAGGATGTTGCCTGCAAGGAGAGAGCGTGAGTGTTCGGATGACTCATGCCGCTTTGAGGTTTCGCACGGCGCTGATCGTTTACTTGACTAGCGCTGCGAGACCTGCAGAGTGGCAAGGCGTTATTGCTGTTTATTTGATGTGCCATTGACGAAATGCTTATATGCCTATTATACATGCTCAGAGTCTGGTGTTGTCAATGTCAAAGCAAGCCTTCTTTTGCTCATGCCAATTGAAACGGTGTGTAGAGTCTGAGCTGCGTTGTGAGACTGTGTAACCTCTCACAGTGCGTCGTTCGGGTGTTTCCGATGAACCGACAAGTTGTTGGAACATGCTCATCTTACTTCTTCAACATCCATCGAACCTGAAGCCCAAACCCCAGCATGTAAATTGTTGCAGACGCCTGTCGCCATGCAGGCACGGCCGGCGCTCCAGGTGGTCTTGCTCGTGAAATTGTGGAGATGCAGGACGTTCACAGTGGGCCCGCCGGCTAATGCTCATTTGCGAAAAGGTGATTCTAAGCAGACTCACTCATTTGTTCCCACCCCCGTTCAGTTTGAATTGTCGTCTGGGATTATTTGCTATCGAAGTTGTCAACCTAGTTCGCACAAAGTTGGGCTTGTGACAGGGCTTTGACCGAGCCATTGGATTTATGATTGGTGGTATGCTGGAGGTACAGGGTCTCGGCGCTTCATATATTGCAGCTGATTGCGGGGGAGAGCCGGGTGTGCGTTTCTGAGTGCAGGCTTCCGGTTTCTAGTACGTTGTGGTTGTTGCGATGTTGCGGTCCTGCTCCATAGTGTTATAGGGTAGAGGCTCCGTCCAGCAAGGAACCTGTTACAGATAGGGTGCTTTCGAGGTTAAAGTGTAGCTTCTTCGACATTCACCGAGTGTCTGGACTTTCACGCAGGTCGACAAAGCAATGAGCATGTTTTCAGGCTTTGTAAAATACGTAGTCCATTGACGTCCAATTTGGAGTGCTGCCAAAGAATCGAACTGCGTCGGAAATTGCAGCGAGGCAGAGTCTGGTGGATGCCTCTGCACGCACAGCATCCACAGCCCGGGAGGCACGTGAAGAAATCAGCATTGACTGCATCTCCTGGTCGCTTGGCAGTTGGACTGTCTCCATGTGCCATACAAATGCCGAACCTCAGCTCCGCTTCTTGCAAGATGCTGGTTATGCGACTTTGAGATGCATGAATAAATTCGGATTTGCGAGACAGCCAGCCGCAGGTGGAGACTGATCAAGGCCGCCGTGTCCAATGCCTAGCAAAGAACCCAAGCCGTGGCGACACGGCTTGCAAGAAATTTCACCAGGAACGCCAGTGTCACAACGCTAAATGCCGTTGGGTGGGCTGAAAGAACGCGCGCCCAGCATCTGGGTGCTTCCAATACCGCGAAGCGATTGCAAAGCCCGGTCCGAAACATGCAAATGGTATGACTGACAGCCGGGACGAGCTACTCGCACCGTGGCGCTTCTGGGATGAAAATGATGGCTTGAGTGGTTTAGGCGAAGCATGATGTAATCTATAGACCTATGGCCAGTGTACGGTCAAACCAGTGTCCGGCGTCCCCCGATGTCCCAAGGTCATATCATATCCATGCACCTGGTGCAAGAACCCAAACGCATCTCACGCGCTCTTCGAGCGAACGCATATGTAACCCGACATGTTTGAGCTCGCAGGTACATGGTTCAAGTACACATCCAAGTACAAACATCGACAGAACGATAGATAGGTATTTAAAGGTATGAGTATAGAGTATAGAGGTATTTAGACGCATGCACACGTCTTTGAGTTCCTCTCTGTGTCTGCTTACAAACTTTAGAGGAATCTGACTTTGTTTTCAGGAACCCTCTTGAAAGGAACTTTTGAACCCTGAGCCGTTTAAACCCTTGAAGTAGGCGGGAAAAAAGATCCCAAGCTCAAACCCCTGGTGCCCTATAGATTGATCCTAAAGGGGTCGAAGACGTTTCCTAAAGCCAGTACAGAACCCCTTTCCATACCAGTCTCATGCCGAGGGCATGGGGAGTCGGTGCCTGCGTTGCAGGTGCGGCACTCTAGGTTTGGAAAACTCGGCACAGCTGATGTAGATGACACAGTGGAGCTTCTTCATCAGCCAGCCATTCGGCGACTGGCCGTTGGCAAGAGGGCTAGAATGGCTAGAATCGTGAGTTTGAGACGAGGTTTTGGTGATGAAGGACATGGTCGTGTAGCTGCATCAACCAACGAGTTTGCATTTTCGATTTGAAGACGACGCGGGCCAACCGCTTCTTCGGCTCAGAGGCTTTGGGACCCGTTGTCTGCCTCAATTTACTACGGCCATGGCCGCCTTGTCTATGCTGCTTGGGCAAAAAATGGTTGCTGAGTAGTCTGGGTCTTCTTCACTGCTTGAGGTGCTCTGTGGCTTTGACCTTTTTTCTGACTGGTGCGACGCGACCTCCGCACTGGGCTCCGGAACGCCTCTGGGTTTTCATTGGAGGGCTACAAGAATGTTTGGAGTTGATTCTTGCAGATTGTTGGTTTGATTTTAGTGTAGCCTCTACTTAGTGTCATCTCATGATTCGCTGGCTGCCTAGGCCTAGCCTTGTTCGAAAGGTTCGTAGGTTCAAATACGCACTGTTCCGGCTTCGGAGTTCCTTTCTTGCTTAGTCAGGCTTGTCTTGACGAGTCATCTTGTATTTTTTGACCCTCGGTCGCTTTTCCTTTGTAGGAGGTTGCACCTATGCGGGACATGGACGGACACGTCATCCACCTCTAGCTCCTGACAAGCGAGGCCCAACCAACAATCTGCCCCCGACATATCACCGCCTGCACAAGAAGACCCCCACCCATGCAGGTATTAGTAGACCGCATCATGCACGCTTCCTCGCACGAAGCACTCAAGCACATCCCACCCCCACACCTGGCGCCTCGCCCTCACCTTAAGTGCCTTCCCCCCTCTTGCATCTACACCGCCGCGAAAATCAGGCCCGACACCAGTCCACGTATCACCCCGCAGCCCACTAGGACCAGATGCATAGCCCAAGACACCCAGGCTGAGAGTTTTATACTCATCCGGTTTCAAGTCCGGTAGCAAAGAAGCAAGACGCGCCGACACACATCTGCATTGAAAGTCCAGGAAATTGCCAGTGAATATTTTGTTTTGTAATCTTGGGGCCCTCTTGCTGCTTGAGGAGTGCTGTAGCCAACCCTGTAGATCGCGAATGAAAGAATGCGTGCTGTGGTCCTGTTGGTGCTACAGGCAATCCTGCAGAGGAGTTGCCCACCAAGTGCCTGGCTCAGCAAACTCTCGAGGACTTTTCATCCTTGGTGCAAGGCAGAGCCTGTTGAGCACAGTACACCGTGATACCAACATCAGTGCTGACACGCCGCGAGCAACCCGCCAACTGCATTCAGACTGTGAAAGTACCTGAACTGTTGGCAATTCTGTGGACCCGTTGGGTTGGATGGGATGGTTTGGAAAGCCGGCAAGTTGAGAAGCAGTTCAAGGGTCTCTGCATTGTGGCAGTAGGTGCAAGAGTTTGCAGTGGCAGCAGCACGTGAGGTGGAACGGGCAGGAACATGCAGAAACTCCCCCGGGCATGGAGAGCATCGCTGCAGAAAGTTTCGCTCAAGAAGACTTTGCCTACTTCATGAAGGTTGCTTGTGGGAATGACACAGTTGTGCCTCGCGGAGAATCATCGGCTCCGGCAATACTGGGCAGGGTGCCGGTGTGCGAAAAGAGGGCGGTTCTGCTTTGAGCGTCTCAGTCTGATTGACACTCTTGCTGCTCCTGTTCGTGCTAAGCGGCCTTTGGAATCTCAAGATTAGCAAATTCTCTTTGCAGCTAACTAGGCCAGTCCGTGACCTCTTGGGCTCAGCACTGACGATGCTGATGCAACGACTTGATTGGCTTAAGTTGGCTTCAGTTCAACAGTAGAAAAAGTCTGCATTTCGTCCATGCTATCCAAGCTCCGGTGTTTGTCTGCTTTTTGTGGCCAGAGTGCCGCCCGTCGGACAACGCTCACGTTCGGATTCTTCGCCTTGAGCATGGGTAGCAGCCAAGCAGCCAGTGTTTTGTGTTTGTAGCCTTTTTGGCTCCTCGCTGGTTTGCGAAGTCCTCCCCTGATTCATGTTAAGTCGTCTGAAGGCACTATCTCAACCTGTAGTAGGCCCTTGGGGACCTTGGGTCCCAGCCCCAAACGTTGGCTTTCAGGATTTATGCATGGCCGTCTCCGTCAGATGGCCTTTCTGCGGCCCATCCTGTGCCTGGTCTTGGCAAGTGCCCGGCGCCCGGCCGAGGACCCTGCTCAGTTTTCGAAGATTGCCTGATTCTGTTGGCCCATCTCGCAGGACCGTCATGATGTCGGGAGGCTGGTGCAAAGCTTTCAAATCCAGGCCTCCGCAAGCTTCGGTTGCCATGGGAACATGCGGGAAAGCGGGCTTG